GGGGAAGGGAGGCCTCGGCCGGCCTGGGAGTAGTGGCAGATTCGCGGTGGGCTGGTAGGGAAGCCCCCCCGGGAAACCGCTGCCGCGTTAATGTTTTAAAGCAGCGTGTGGTAGACAGGCCACGCAACTGCCAGTCTGATACGGAGCAAGATAATGTTATAACTTATTCAGCGCGTGGCTGATTAATAATTAAAAGCAAGCGATGGATTCGGCATCGAGCAGCACAGGTTCACAGGACCTGATCTTGCCAGGCCACGCCGGCTGGGCCTCCGGGATCAAACCACCCCTTTGTTTGATTCAACTAACGTCAGTGAAATGCGCCTCGCTTAGCACATCTAGAAGCAAGCAAGCAGTACGCGTTTTTCTGCCTAAATGCAAGCTGTGCGTTGAACAAAGGCAGTAAGGCCACATTTAAAGGCTGGGGTGCTGTCCTGGGAGACAGTGACCGAGGAGAACGTGGGCCTCTCGGTGAGCGGCGGTGAGCTGCCCTGGGGCAGCATCTGGCCAGGGGAACTAGCGTGCTGCTTGGTTTTACATAAACAAGCATACAGAACAGAGAAGTTGTATTACCTCAGTGTTTGGCACTGCTACATTTGTGGCTGTGTTTATTTCAACATCCACTATTTGAGAAAAACATCAATTAACTGGAAGAGGATCCAGAGAAGAGCCACAACAACTAGTAAACACAGCTTATAAAAAAAAAAAAGAATCAAGATGTCCAATGTGTGTAGATCAACAGTGAAAACTGAAAGACTTGACTGTATTCTTTAATTAGCAATTGCTGGGGAACAGAAATTTAGTAAGAGCTCTTCCCTTTCATAGAGACTGGTATGACGAGACTTAATAGCTTTCACACAGTTCTGTGGTTCTAAAATCAAAGTATCCTAGTTGACATTTTCCACGTTTGTTCATCTCAGATGCGCTTCGTATTTCCAAGTCTCATAACAACTTAATTCAAACAGTATCATTTGAGTTTTGGGACCAAAAAGACTGAAACAACAACAATAGTTAAGTAATCAAGAAGCTATTTCAGTGCTGTGCCTCTGCTTCTATTACATTAAATAATTCCGTACACTCTTTTCGCAGGCAGCATATTAGCACTCTTCGCTCTGATTCTGCGATACGGATTACAGAAATCAAGTACAGGTATTTGGTAACACTAGTATATTCCAATCAAAGTAATCTGGATAACACAAATTCTTTGGCACGCTGATGGTATGCATCTTCAAGCACCAGGCTTTGAGACCGTGCTTTGCTGCCTGGCATAAAGCAGCTGCTCCCCAAAGGGGCATGCCAGCGAAGAAGATCTCTGTGCCTTTACCTCAGAGTCTTCCTTTGCCAAAGGTAATGTGTTTTCTTAGGCCAACTAATGTCTTTGGAAAAAACAGATACCCTAGTCATCCTTCTACATATTTGGTGGTGTTGCTGTCTCATCTGGGTTCCTGAGCCCATTCATCTCCCGCAGAGGGCACCCTTTGAACAATCTGTTCCAGTTTTGAATGATGCTGAAGCTACATAGATAGTGGTACAAGTACGACAGCAGAAACAATGGCCGTAAGCCCTCTTGCTCTCCTTCTCTGACTCATTCACTGTTCCCGAGTACAAACCTGGGAGTGTGCTCCACTTTGACTGTACTGTGTGTCAGGAAAGGTGTTGAAAACAAGAAAATACTTTTCACTATCTTTCTGACCCCAGCAGCACGTTTGATAGGTAATTCAGCCATTCTCAGAATCTACAAGCATGTTGTTGAATTTATGTATTTAGTATTTCTAAAATGAGAATAGCATAACTGTTTATTCTTTCTATTTCTTTGCACTTCTTGTTTTTTAGCACTGTAATCAACAAATAGCTGTAGTTCATCCAATGCACTCAACAAGAAACAGGACAGCCCCAATGCCAATAAAACAACTAGACCAATTTTACATTTTCACCTCGTTACCTAGAACTGCAACTTCTGCATTTTATAAGCACCTAAGTGAAAAAGGATTTAACTTCAGAATTTACTGAGCATTCGTTTTGGTTGGTGTAAAAATATAAGAGATTAGGTTTATAGCACAGTTTTTACATTTCTGGGAACAGCAATGACAATTCCTCCATACGGTTTTTACTTTGACCTGTACACCACATCCCACCCCCAAAAAGAAGAGAGCGTAAGTAGCAATAAGTTCTTCAGTTAAAGCCACAGAAAAACTGTAGGAGTTAGTTCCATGTATTAACTCTGCAATTATCTGAAATTCTATTTTTGAAGAACTTTGTGGGTTTTTTTTTCCTTGCAAACACTTCTATTTTTTTTTCCTTTTAATTCGTTCACATGGCCTTGGTGTCAGCCTGATTTTACTAACTTAGGTTGGTGAAAAGTTGTTATACCCCCCTTCGCTGCAGAGTAACATATACTAGATTACAGCAAGAGAACAGGACAGTTTTTGTGTATTTCAAAACAGCATAACCAAAAATGTATGCATTTGCCATTTTTCCTTTTCACAGACTTCAATAATTACTTTACTGAGTGATTACATAACTTATACCATATGCTCCAGAAATAACAACTGAAACATTACGAAGAGAGTGAAAATAATCTACTGTGATCAAGACAAGATGCAACTGCTTACTGACAGCATATAATTCATATACCAACAGAGCAGAGAGTATTGTCATGGATTGTTTTGGAGTTCAAAAGCAGAAAAGTGTCTGTGATTTCCCTTCACATCAGAGTTAGCCTTCCACACAAATTCATGTCAGGTTTTGCAGTGCTCTCCCTGGAAGCGCCATGTTAGGCCTTCTTGGGGTATCTCCCACAGTTCTCTACACTATAGTAAACCGAGATGCTCAGCAAATGCCTTTTCAACGAGTTGAGAACTTATTTGTTCCACAGGGCACAGAGGTGAGGAATGCTCTCAGGATTCATGTGGTGTAACCTGCATGTTTACTATAAATTTTACAGATACTATGCTTGAATGAAAGTGAATTAATGAATCATGGATTACTCCTAGCCGCACCTCACAAAGGTGCCTGCTAAAGTAATTTTAAAAAAAAAATGCTGCAGAAGAGGTGACTACTGGTGCTCAGCTATGATAAAAGTTATTCAGGAAGGGTGTTAATGTGAGGTAACAATCAACTCAAGTAGGCACGTAGCAGATTATTTTTCTTTAACAATTTTTCTATTCTTGAAGCCAGGGAAACATACAGTAATGAAACAATGTACTGTTTGTTTTATGTGTACCTTTAATCAAAACCTTAAAGATGATATATGCAAGTTATATAAATAACAACCAGCATAAATAATTTTAAACTTTAACATCTCTTACATTCTATTTGGAAAGCAAGAAGGGAAGCTCAGGGAAACTAACCACACTCTTGAGCCTTTCCTAACAAAGTGAAGGAGATGCTGTAAAACAAGGTGGAACTACGTGAGGCAGCCTCAGGAGCCTAAAATTTCTTCTGGGTTTTCTTATTCTCTCAAATCCTTTCCCTGGCTCTGCTCTTGCCTCTGTCCACCTGCCAGCTCTGACATTCATCAGGCTCTTGCTGAGTGGGACAATTCATTAACCCAGACAAAAATTAACTTCTCTCCCCCAGGGCTAGCGAGTTAAGTTGTTTCACAGAAGGGCCTAACGAGCATTACCACCAAAGCAAAATAGGTGTTGAAAGCAAACAGGTAGTAGAGGGAAAGGAGCTCAAGCTACATGGGACAAAAATAATTTACGGCAATATAAAATATGTTACAGGCTTTAGTTTCTCGGAAAAAAGTTTCTGGCATTTCAAGATTGCAGAAAATCTTGGATTACTTTTGCGAAGGCATACGATGAGCCAAGATTTAACATTTCAAAAGCAGACCCAGACTATTTTGTTTGTCCAGGATCAAAAACGAGTTTGATGGTATTGTGTGTGCTATGGTATTGGTAGCAGAATAGAAATATAGCTGAGAACAGAAAAGAATTAC